AAAAAAAAAAAAAAAAAAAAAAAAAATGAAGAAGAAGAAAACCTCTCATTTCTCAAAAGCATTCCTACACATTAAGTTTCAACATGAACTCTCTTAGAGTCTAACTTGTCTATCGGTTCAAATACCCACTACGGACGTCAGAGTCTTCCAGTCTTATATATATCACCTATATTCTTCCCCCTTTTAGAAGCATACACAGCACAACCAGAGTTCAAGGATTCAGTTCTCCAATTATTTCATCTCCTGAATTCACGGAAAACAGCTTTTCTCCCTATGGCTACACCCGGAGAGTAGCATCCTTATCCCTTCTTCTTATGATCACATGTTGCTATGATCTGTCTTTTCTTTAATTGTAGAATATTTTGCATGTATTATTGTTGTTTGATCATGTTTTCTGCTGATTAAAACTTTGCTGCTGCTGATTCTGTTTCTTTTTGTTTGATTTTTCTTTTTCAGATTCTATCGATCATTACCGCCTGTGAGCAAATTCTATGGAGTGGCCTGTTTGATGACCACGAGTGCCTTCTACCTTGGTCTTTACGACTATGAGAACATAGCACTCTTTTATGAAGATGTCTTCAAACACTTCCAGGTAAATAAAATGAATATATCAGTTAAATTTCCATTTTAAGAGTTTCAATTCAAGAGCTCACATGATTATAGTGCAGGTCTGGAGGCTCATCACCAACTTCTTCTTTCTGGGGCCATTCAGTGTTACTTTTGCAGTGCGGTTGATATTGATGTAAGAAAACTCACCCTTTTATCTGACTTTTGAATTATGTTGTGTTCCTAGGTTATTTCTTTACGTGTTTGTAACACAGATGCTATAACTGTCATATGAAAGAACACCTCAGAAAAGGTGACATCCAAGAGAGTATGGAAATAAGATTGCTAGATCATTTATCACACTTAATTAGATGATTGAACTTTGAAATTGTAGCATAATATGATAATATGAGGCTCAATTTTTTGCACAGAGCGAAATATGGTGTTTCACTAGAGAGAGGTCCGTTTGACAAGAGGACAGCAGACTATGTATGGATGTTCATGGTTGGAGCACTCTCTCTTCTGGTGAGTGAAAACAACTAGATTCTTAGTGTTTTACATTTTTTCACTGCTAATCTTCAGAATAAATTGTAACAAGATCCAAGTCTCATACCACACTTAATTGCAACTTATGTGAGGAGACATTTCAGAACTAGATCTAGAATGTGATCAAAATGCAAAGATTTTGACACCCATATCCTGTCATAAAAGACGACAATTACTGGTTCAGTAGTTAAGTGACATGCTAAGGAGTAAGGGCCTGGAAAGTTAATCTTAGTTTTAAATAGATTTGAATCCCCATCCCAAATCTTATTGTTAGGAGATAGATACAATTTTGCCATGAGAAAGTACATACATGCACTAATTGCCAATTTATTCATCGGCATTAAATAAAAATTATGCCTGATTACTTCTACACCATCCTAGGTGATGTGTGCTATTCCAATGCTATGGTATCCATTCAATGGAGGTTCTATAGTATATATGATCCTTTATGTCTGGAGCCGTGAGTTACCAAATGCTCGTATCACATTCTACAATCTTGTGACGTTGAAGGTACGTGTCCCATCTTCTAATTCTCACTGGAAAATGCCATTGTTGCAGTTGTTAAAGATCTCTATTTCATCGTAGAGCTTGTTTGGCCTAGATAGAGCATTTTTAGGAAGGAAATCGGCTTCTAAAAAACCGGAAGTGATTTTCATCAAACAACATTTGGACTAAATTCAGTTTCTGGAACAGAGAGACTCTTCTAGAAGCAGGGCTAAACCGGCCGGCACTCAGATATGCGTTAAAATTGTTAGTGATGGTGATTGTGCAGGGATTTTATCTGCCTTGGGCAATGCTGGTTCTGGATTTGCTTTTTGGAGATTCTTTGAAGACAGGTATTCGTGGGATAATTGCAGGCCATCTTTACTACTTCTTAACAGTTCTTCATCCCCTTTCTGGTGGCAGATTCATGTTGAAGACTCCCCTTTGGGTGTATCCTTTCCATAGTTTTTTCAGCTTAATCATGCATGCCTTTGTATGATTGTATGAGTCTTCAAAAACATGCTATTTGAAACACACTTTTTAGTCCTTAATGAGGTTTCCTAGGCACAAATTAGCAGCACGTTGGGGTGAAGGGGTCCAAGTGAATTCTCCAGTGCAGCAGGACCCAAATGCTGGAGTTGCTTTCACAGGAAGAAGTTTCCGTCTGAGCGGTACTCGAACACAAGCAAGCACACCACCAGGTCAGTCCCAAACAAGCAGTACAGATTCAGCACAGCAGCCTGGATCCGGTGAAGGTGTTGCTTTCCGAGGAAGAAGTTATCGCCTTGATGAACGTCCAGTAACTCCTAATTAGTGTGTACATTTGCTGGCAGAAGCAGCTATACATATCTGCACGGCATTGCACTTCTGCTTCAAGGATGTTAGAAACGAGGAGAATCTTTCGTGCATGATCAGCAACAGCTGGCTGCTTATACTTAGGAAGATCAATTACTGGTAGTTTGACCTCCTTAATGTTATTTCCTTAAAACTTTCACCTGTTACGGTACTTTGATCAATAAATATGATGTATCAACGAAAGAAGGCTGCTTAATTTCATTGCTTTTAACTTGTCATCGTAAGTAGTCTTGGTAATAGAAGTGGCTATAAAACACTTTCACACTTTGACAAAAGAGTTTAAACCTATACTTCTCTCCCCACTTCCTTTCCCTCTCAAAAATCTTCATTCATGCCAAGCTCCCTATCACCCTGAGTCACTCCCCAAGTTGCCCTATAAAGCGAGGTCATATCACGATATGGCCTAAACCCTAGGCAATGCTATGAGTCATTCTTAAGTTATCCCAAACTAAAACACACTCAAGTCCTTAGGCTCTAAACATTATCAAGCCCTCTAAACCATGTCAAAGGTGGTTCAAAGACTCTAGTTTAGGATGACTTGAGATGACTGAGGTTAGAAGCAATTTAAGAGTCACCTAAGTCTGATGTGAATTGGAAGTGCTTTAGAGTTTGAAGTAGCTTAAGATATGACCTGGGTTTAAAACAACTTAAAGATGTAATTCGAGTCCAACAATATCCAAGGTCAATTTACTTGACAGGCACACATTATTTGTTGAATTCCAAAGATTTTTTTTTTATTAAAAACCGTAAGATAATTTTTTTTTCAAAATTTAATTTGAAACATCAAAAAATATATCTCATTTTCAATGGTTCATGTTGTTAAAAAATCATTTAAACTAGTTATACTCAAAATGCAAGTTTAAATTCCTCCAATATTATTTGAATACAAAAAACTTCAACAAATTACTATTCATAAGACTAATCAGATCAAAAAGCTTAAAGATCATGTTATTAAATTTTCTTTTTTAAAAAAAAGTATTTTCCACCCTATTCCCTTTTTTTTTGTTTTTTTTAGCGAACACCAGTACACCACCCTTATTAAGAGAGAGCTTGAAGTTGTACTTGAAAAAGAAGGGAATCGGCACAAGATACCGTTGCTCGTTGGAAGACAAAAACGAATGGTGCGAAGTAGAATCAAAGTGAAAAAGGAAGAAGACTTGGGTCAACAACAAAAGAAACCTAGGACTGACGGTATGCCATTCTCCCCTAATTTTTTTTGTTAGTTACTATCATTGGTTTGACAAAACCCTAATTTTAACAATTATCCCCCCCATAAAACTAGGCGTTTTACTTAAAATACTCCCATACTAGCACTTATATATTTGGGGTTTTTGAATTTGTATAAACCCCCTTTTTTTATGGAATGCATAACCCTTTTTATGCATTAGGATTAGAAACGACTTGATAAATTGACTAGTAGATTTCCCATCTTTATATTGCAACTGTTCTATTAAGCTCTGTCTAATATGATTGTTTTTTTATGGACAACCAATACTCTATTATTATGAATTTAATTACTATGTATATTCTATTGGTCACTAAATATGTAAAAGAATCAAAACCAAAAGACAAGCGGTAACAATACTAAAGGTAGGCTTAATGGACGATCATTGTAAAGAACCAAAAAAAGGGAGTGGATGTGACTTTTACAGGTCAATTATCATGTCCTTTTGAGTTTGTTATTAGGATCTCAGCAATGCACGATGGAAATCAGTCGTAAATAATTATTCTTTTGGATTTATTCTTAATTTGCGCAGGTAAAGAGTGGTTCACTGTCTCATCCATGTCTTGGGGTCGTGATAAGATGCTAAGTTTAGATGATCTTAAAGACCCTTCGAAAGGCTACCTCGTAAATGATACGTTAATCGTTGAAGCCACAGTGGACTTCACAGCCAGAGTTAAGCATCTCTAGTAAAATTTGGAGTTCTAAGGTTCATTTTGCAGTTCTTTTTTTGTCTTTTTTTATGAACGGTTATGAGACCTTTTCATAACTTTGCATTCATCAATTGTTCAAACCAGCTAGTCTGATGGAATTTGATACCATGCACTCGACTAATGCTCGATGGCCATGTCTAAATTAAACAACAATGTTTAAGAAGTTTAGCTGTACACTATGATGGTTTTTTTTTTTTTTTTGAATTATGAGTTCAAGTAACTCACCTTTCATATTATGATTTATTAAATCCTTGTGGATGATACCATTCCAAATCAATTTTACCTAGTCCTTTTCTATAGCTGCATTAACTTATATATATATATATAT